CTCTCTCACAGTGTTAATTGGTGGTTTCATGACTCATTAACTCAAATTTCACAACGGTCAATTAAAAGGAGAAAGCAATAGATTTTGGGCACCCTTTTCTTCGAAAAGAAGCACACATGATATCTGTCATCATTTCTTTATTTTCATGGAGAGAAGTTAAGGTGGGTTCACAAAGGAAAAGGGTGTTTTCCATGATTCATGAGAATGCTTTCAATTTACATTTTGTTTTGTCCCCAAATGCTAACTTTATTGTTCTACATGGTAAATTTAAGGTTGAGAGTGACTCTTTTGGAATACGTTAAAACAGCCCTCTCCCTCAATCTCTCAAATTTTCATGCATTTAGTTCAAACGGCCGGTTTTAACCTTAGATCTTTTCAAAGGAAAAATGTGAAAGAACAAAACCTTGCGTGATTGGTTGGTATGATTTGATGCAAATCATGTTGAAAAGAAACTTGATGTTCGAAGGTCTAATCTATGTCACAAATTTTGGTAAAAGAATTTTAATAAAACACGTTAAAGTATTATTTTATTCATCAATAGTTAACTGTTTACACATATTATAAAACTAATTATATTAAAAATTTTAATGCTAATTTTATTTTATTTTTTAAAAATAGAATGTTCATGCATGATATTTAAGTTTTAAAGTACAAGTTGATGGAGACCATATGCCTACTCTTTTGACCCAAATTGAGCACCCCCTCAAACAATCCACAATTGCAAGCCAAAGATACATTCAGCAAACAGTTACCCTATATTTCTTTAAGTCTTGTATTTAACATATTGAATTGTAATAAATTATAAAATATTAATTATTAAATAATAAAATTATTTTTTATTATTAAAAAAATTCTTTTTATTTAATAATTGATATTTTATAGTTTAATATAATTCAAATTATAAAACTTTTTTTTATTTCTTTTTCATCTCAAGATTCCACCTTCGGATTTTTCTTCCTTGATGGATTTTACTACTGGAAAATGCAATTGGGGTACTTTGGGATGGATGGTGTATTATTATTATTACCATCCTCTTAAATTATATAATTAGAAACAATTCTCTTTTATTTTTTAATTTACTCTATCTATATATTATGTATCTTGAATTTATAATTTTTTATTTTTAAATAAAAATATTATTATTAAATTATATAAGTGGTTGATTTTATTATTCAATACCCCATCTTCCGTTAAAAATAATAAAGTATATGTGATAAAAAGCATACATGCAACACCCCGAGTATGCAAAAACGATGATTCCTGCAACTTTCCTAGTAATTTCGACAAAACCTAAAAGTAAGGTTGTGTTCGTGCCATGTAGAAGACAACTATGTCCAACTATTAATGTTTAGGCAGTTAGTCACTTTCATGGCATGCCTTCGCTGCTAATTATTGACTGCCCATGTTCACAACCATAATATTATACATTACCTTAGTTATCAACTATAGTGATTCAAATTAATGGGCATTTATAGAATTGTAATTACTAGTGAAATGCAAATTTGGAGAATTTTTTTCCCCTACTTTTAAATGACTGACTTAATATAGAAGACTTAATTTATGGAAGACTTAACTCCATGTGAATCAATATATATTAGATTTTTTTTTTTTTTTTTGAGAGTTCCAAATGTTGAGAACATAGAATATTAAGGAATGGTGATAAGGGATGAGGCTGAAATAAGTTTTTCATCGTGTTCATTTCACCTTTAAGAGCAAGTGGGAGAGACCATTATCCCACAAGGTAGAGAATTAAAATTAGATTTTTATAAAGATCATAATAAAATGATTCTTATTCAAAAATCCCCAACCCGGCCTGGAATTGGCTTTCATTTAATTAAGGTTAAATCTTTAATTTGATCTCTTAATTATTGTACAAACTCCAATTTGGTCCCTAAACTAAAAAAATTTCCAATTTAATCTCTTAAATATTGTATGGACCCTTGATTTGATCCATATTATTTACCAATTTAGTTTCAAGTTGATCCTTCTATTAAAAAATAATTGACATGTTCATTATTTAATAGTAAATAAATCGTTACTTAACTGTCACATGTCATGTTAATAACAAGACACGTCATTTATTTTTATACAGAAGGATTAATTTAGGGCCAAATTAATAAATAGTAAGGATCAAATCAGAGATTTTTTTAGTTTAAGGACCAAATTAGGATCCGTACAATAGTTGAGGAACCAAATTGGAGATTTAACCTTTAATTAATTTACATTTGAAATAGAGGGTAAAACTCTTCTGCAAATTATTCTCAATTTGTCTAAGTTTTGTATATGAGATTTCTAATTTATGATGAATCTAATTGTAAAAATAAAAAATGAAAAAGCTTCAAAATTTTAAAAAAAATTAGTTATGACCATTCATTTGAATCATTCCAATAAAAGCAACCTGAAACAACTTATCACCTCTCATTCTCTTCCCAACAACCAAATAAAATTGCACCCATTAAAAAAAAAGCGCACAACAAAGTTACAAGTATAAATTAAAGATTGCAGAAAATTAGTTATTTTAGTAATTAAAATATCAAAAATAAAAAAATTGAAATATTTTTAATAAATCAATACATAAGCAAATAAATTATTTAACATAATTTAAACAATTTTAGAAATAATTTTCACATTTTAAATATTATAACTCTTAATTTTTATTTTTTTTCTACAAAACAACCTTTTTTATGAGCTCTACAAACAAAAACTAAAGTTAATTAAATGGTGTTCTAATCCTATTCTTTTAAAATATAAATTAAAAATATAATTATTATATTTTTTAATATTAATTAATATAAAAAATTATAAAATTATTATTAATTTTAATACTAATACTACATAAATTATTTTAATTAAATAATAAATAAATAAATATTATTTTTATTTTTAATATTAATTAATATAATAATATAATAATTACACATTTAAACTTACAAATTTAAAAATATCCTAAATAAATAAGAAAAATAAAAAATTCCAAAACATTAAGTTGTAGTTAAGAATACAGAAGGGAAAGGCGCCCCACAGAATAAACTTACGCCAGCTGTATACGTCGTGCCACCCTGCCCCCACGCCGGGCTGCGGTCATTCTTCTTCGTCTCCTCCCAGCGTTCACTTCAGGGTTTTGGGCAGCTGCCCGAAATTTTCTCTCTCCTTCGGACCCTCTGTTTCTGTATATATATAGAGTGCCATCAGCCATGGACGACCTCAAACCATTGTCTCTGAGCTTCTTCATCTTGAGCAAGAGCCACCCATTTCATAAAGAGGCAATTTTTGGGTTTCTTTTTGAGTCAATTATCAAGAAATGGAGGCAATGAAGGTGAAGCTTTTTGTTGCAATGATGGTGGCAGTTTTGGCCATGTCTGCGGTGCAGAAGGCGTCAGCCGCCGAGCCTCCAGCTCCCAGCCCGGCATCTGACGCTGCTGTCTATGTCCCAACTTTCGTAGCTTCCCTTGCTGCTTTGGCTTTTGGGTTCTTCTATTGAGAATTGGGTAGACAGCATGGTTTCTAATTCTTTCTGTACCCATTTGCTCTGTCCTTCTCCTCACACGTTCCTCTTTTCTCACCTCTCTCTTCCATGGGAGAGATGGGTCGGAGAAGAGAGGAAATGGGTTTTTCATTTTTTATTTATTTATTGTTGATGTTTTAGCAGGCTTTGATTGGTGTGAATTTTGTGTTATATTGGATTTATGTATAAATTTCTGTAATTTTCATTTTTCACTTGGAATGTGGGATTCAGATTAGGCAAATAAGGAGATCAAGCGGAGGGAAGTGATGTCTTGGTTGGTGGTGGATTTGATCATACTTCTTGTATCTTGTTCCATTTTCCATCTTTCTTTCACTTGTGTATCTGATTTATTCTACTACTAATAAAATATATTCATTTCTCTACTTCTCATTTATGTTTTGTATTTCATGTATATTCTACAATCTGCAAATCATGGAAAGCGTGGTTGAATTTGAGTTGGGGAGCTAAAATTTTTGCTACAAGGAGATAAAAACAGAGGAGGTCGGTAAAGAAATTCAGCTTCTTTCTTGGTAATAATGGTTGGTTGAGCTGTATTTTTGGCAGATTCAAATGGGAATGTGTGACCACGGTTATAATAGAGCAATTGACAGCTTTTGCTGTGGGGTCATTAGTTTTTGATGTTTCAGGCAGGTTCTGGCTTGTGGTTGTAGATTTTTTAAAGGATTTGATGATATGGGACATGGGGCTGCATGTGAATCCAGAGCAAAGTTGGCTCTAGCCTCTAGTGGAGAAAATGAACCATGGTTTTAACATGGTTTGCTCAATGGTAAATAGATTATTCTTGAAAAGCAGTGCATATGACAAAGGGTGTAGATGGTCTGGAAAAAGCAGAGCAAATTGCTGCTGCAGAGTGCATTTGAGTTTGAAGCATCAAGAAAAAAAAAAAGATTAGGAATCTATATCTAGCATCTCAAAATGTTGGCAGGGGGGATATAGTCAGTTTTTGATGCTTAAATCTTTTCACTTCACTCACTCTTCTTTCAATCTTTCGCACTGGATGCAATTCTGCAAATGAAACCATAGTTCTGTGATTGGACTCTTTGATGCTTTAGGAGATCTCATATTTGAATCTTATATACAATCATTGCTTGAGGCATTTGTCTAATGAATAAAGGATAATTTGAAACTCCATGACATTTCAAGTTCAAATTTTTAATTATTAAAACCTAATTAAAGAAAAAGGTTTTAGGTTTATTTTATCAAATATATCATACAAGTCCAACAAAGTGGTGGGAAATGAATTCGAAAGAGAATGATGACTAAGAGGTAGGCAAGCACATGTTGGCTGGAAATACCCACATGGACAGCTAAACCTGGACGACAGAACAT